ATATATATATATATAAGTACTATGTGTATAATTCTGCTGAAAGTTAATGCATTTGGATCACACAAGACTTGATTTGTATTTGTATCTGGACCTCAGCCCACTGAATGGAGATCCCTGTCATGGGGGATGTAGATCATTTCGAAAAGTATTTATTATTTTTATCATAAAACATATAAACGACTAAAGAATTAATTTATTACAGAATCTAATCAATCTTTTAGTCATGTGCAAAAGTTTTAAACCATCTCTTTGTTTTTTTCTAATTAAGCCTACCCTGTAATGTCTTACAGTGATTCTGAAATGTTTGTCAGACATCTGAAAATAATAACAGTAAAAGTTTTTCTTGTGACTTGTGCTCTTTTCTGTTAGTCCTTTTACTTGAACATGACAGATTACTGTGCTTTTAAAGTCCCGACAGACTGAACAAGTGTAAGATAAAAGAAGTGTCAAAAAAATACCTCATCAGATAAAGAGGTAACTGAAAATCATGCTTTTGAAAAATAGGAGGAAAAAAAAGGCAGAAAACCTGCCGCAGGACCTGAGCAATGCATCACCCTTCACTTGATTATCTACCTCATGTCAAGCTTGCAGCCAACAGCTCTTTGGGAATCACCTTGTTGGAGCTAAAATAATATTTACTGCCTGCCAAACTGTGATATTGTTGACATTTTTCAGATTCAGCTAAAGAAATGTGACCAACCTGCCTCTTTGTGGCTGGCTGCTGGTAACAAACACCTAAAATTTAATTTACATTTAGTTGTTTGCTAATTTTGTTCAGTTTTGACACTACACTTGTTCATTCATCATTAAAGTCTGAACATTTTATACCATAATTAAGTGACTTAACAAGCTACAATATTTTTCTGCAAATTGTCTGGTACTGGAGTTCCTGATGAATTTGATGACAAGTGGCTTAACTAATCTAATTAATACTGTCACATATGTAATAAATATACATGTTTTTTAAATGCTACATCATTTTATGTGAAAGAACTCACTCTCCACCCATCTCAGAGAGAAAAGTAATTATAAAGCCGCCCAAATAATTCAATAAAAATTAATTAAACCAATCTTACATGGGAAGAAAATCATGTTTATTTAGCACCCTGGGCTTCATGGCAAGAGGGGGATTGAAAAATCACATTTCCATGTCCTTTCTTACAGACAACCAATCCGAGCAGAAAACACCCTGGTGACATTTGTCAAAACGTAACAACAAAATGTGAAGTTACATCGGAAATGGTGACAGGTGGACGATTTGAAAA